AGTGTTTTGTTTTGTATTGAGTGGTTTATTGGTGCGTCCTGGTCCTCGGCGAATCCCCTACCTATATCCTTCACCTAAGGGTACAACAGTTGTAAAAACGTGTTCATATTGGGTTCTTTATTGTGTACCCATAATCCGATTAGAAGCATATGTTTTGTTCGTATTTCTGGCGGCATGTTTATATCATACTCATGTATCATAGCATATACAGGCCAAATAGATGTTTTGCTTGAATTCGCTGCTTGACACCCATCCGTATTGAAAGTATATGACAAATTCCATCTAGAATCTAATGGATTATCTGGAGCCAAATATTTTTTGTACATATCGCCATCATGAATATCTTCCAATGTATCATTGTTTTCTTTTTGTCGAGAGAAACGGTAATCTAAATGTTTCGAAATATTTGGATTATTTAATAAAGTTTGCAGCTGATATTTAAAATTTAAAGTCACAAAAAATGACGATATTACAACATGATCAATATCTTTCTCACAGGTACGGCATATTACTTTGTTACCCGAACGTAATTTTGATTGTTCACCCATGTATCTTTGACAACTTGGACAAAATAAGTGGAATTTAATAGTGTCTTCGGCTAATGGAAAATATTTGAATAAACTGTACTTTGAACTCGGTAAAACATCATTACTGTACAACTTATTTATCATAGTTATGATATCAAGTATCGCAATCCAAGTCATACAGTGTTTTTGACCTATAAGTATGGCCATCATTAGTGCTTCTCCTTTTGTTGTTACTGAACATGGACACAACGTTTCACTCAGAAATCGATCGTATTGATTGTTCAACATCTGCAGTAATAAAACAATTGTTTTTAAATGAGTTGAATTGATAGAAAAGGTAATATTTAGTTTCTCAAATATATATAGTTTATTCAATTTTATAAATGTCATAACATACTTCCTCGTCATTTCCGTCTTCTTCAGAAATGAGATTTTCTTGAAATAACGTATCTTGGTTGAACAAATCCGCATTATCATCAAATGGTTCATCATAATATTGCTCCTAAAACATAAAGAATTATTACATATAAGAAGTAGATTTTGTTGAGCATGGGGGCACGTTTCATTCAGAAAATGATCGTATTGATTGACCAATATCTGTAGTCACATAATAAAACAATTGCAATACGCTGAGTTAATAGAAAAGTGATATTTAAATTTTTATCTAAAACATATACAGTTTATTCGATTTCATAAATGTTATAACATACTTCCTCGACATTTCCGTCT